AATCTGTAATCAATGAAGGACAAAATTATTAACCTATTTAAAGCATAGTGCAATTTCTTTTTTACAATCCCCAATATTTCTGAGTTACGTCATCTTCATAATGTGAAGGCTTAGTGATATCGTTCTTCTACCAAACAGAAGAGGCCTTGGCATTGAGAAGATGGAGTTACAATGTAATATACGAATACTTCTCCCTTCCTACATATTAATTCATTCAATCCTGTACTGCCATGGTTAGAAGAATAACCACTCAACTTTTAGAATTAAAATTACTCTCTTCTAAATCTGAGTATCAAAAGTGTTTTGTAATATCATTGAACGTTTTTATCATATTTGTAATTAATTAATTAGTTTATTTATTCATTCATTCATTCATCTATTTATTGTTTTTGTGACATTGATGAAAATAAAATAATGATATAATAAGTCATATAGATAAATTCTCAGAACATAGAAAAAATGTCTAGACTAAAGTTACTCAATGTTTTTTGAAAATTCTATTCATAATTCATTGATCCTCAAATATTTCTTCAAAATAGTTAAAGTAATCCAACTGCTTCAAAAATTCGATCATTATTGATCCGCCTTTATTTTCCTGAAAGGACACAAAAAGGGGAAAACAAATAAGGATAACAAACAGAGTCTGGTTTATTATCTAATTATACACCCATCGTCAGATTTTCCAGGTATATACATATTAAAATAACTGCACAGTTATGACTGGTTTGATTCACCTTATAGTCCGTAAGTTGAAGAAATTTGGATAGTCGTAAAAAAGCACATACATTAATATGGAAGACTAGCTAGAATTCAAATTTCAAGATTCACGGTTAATATATCCATTGTGGAGATTATTCCACTTAGAGCACAAGGTGAGAATCGATCCCTGAGGAAAAAACACGGAGCGAGGAGCAGAGACAGCTAAGTGTTGAAGACGATACTGACGATTGTGATGATGATTATCGTCAATATTATAGAGACAATCGATATCACACGGACGATCTTGCCGAGTCTTCTACATTTGGCAGAATTTCCATTAATATACTCATTGTCTGCTTGAACTGAAATAGAAAATTTAAAAAATGATTTTAATAGAGTTAAGGTGATGTTAAGAAAACAATAATCACAATATACTCGATGTAATTCTCGAAAAGTTGTCATAAAACAATATGAACAATTCACTTGACCTTGACCTTTGACCGTGATTAAGGCGTATACTATAAGATGCACCACCTTCAGAATTTAGTCTGACTGATATCCCAATGTGTGTAGTCTGGAAATAATTAATCCTTTTCTCCCTTAATTCCAGTCTCGGTGAATATAAATGAAGATATAAAATACTTTTGCAAATTAAGCATTCCACCATAAAATCAAGACAATGCGAAAGGTGTCTGAATGAAAAAAAAAGTCCTAGGTCTCTTAACAGATAATTTTTACGGGAGGTATTTAAAATTTTTTATGTTTTTGAAAAAAAATCAACAAGAGCACAGAATGCAAAATGCAGCATCTTATCTTTTGCAATTTTGAAAAAATGAAAAAAGGGGGTTGGATATACCAAAGTAATCATTAATTCTGCTTGATTATCAAAAACGTAATATCCGTGTATTTATTATTCAATGAATGTCTTTATAACACAGTATTATTCGAGGTAAGATAAACTGGCAGTAAAGACTTTAGTTGAGTTTACAATGATGAGCAAGCATTTCATGCGGTTGGACAATAGGATATACGAGTTAACGAGGCAATGAACATCTTCATTCTTTGTTTATCTTGTGCTTAACAACATGTGCACATATGTAGGTAATTACTCGCTAGTCTAATGGATAAAGGTAAATGGGTGAAAGAGAGAGAGTAAAAAAGGGAAGACTTTGTGTGCAATTCCAAGAGAAAATTAGTTATGACTAGCTTAACTTATGCCAATAATTTTTGTCCTAAAGTTTTATTTTTTTTTTAGTACATGTAGTAGTAGAGGTGAACTTTATTTTACATTATAGACGAAGTTTTTTTTTTAAGTGAAAATTAAAATTTTTTCTTTTGAAAATAATAATAAAAAATACAGAAATCGACAACTGAGAAAATGACACTTTAATGAATTTTGGACTTTTGATTAATTACTGTCCTTCAAATAGCAGGAATTCTTGGATAAAAGAAATTCAGCAACAAAAATTTCACACAAGTCACCAAGCTTCATGACGACAAAACGAAAGGACATATTGTCTTGATAATTTACAAGACATCAAATAAAAAAATAAAATATATAGATAGAAATAGAAAAAAATAAAGAGTTGACCTTAGCTTTTCGTATAAATTTCGTGTAAATTGACAATACGTTTTCAAAATGCCCTGCTTTGTGTGTGCAAGATTCAGTCTGGGGCTACATTAAACGAAAGGATTTCTTTTATATTTGGCAGAAAAAAGCTTTGTACTTTCATTGACGGTGTTTGTTTACTGAATCAATAAACAATCTTAACTTTTGAGGAGCTGCATCTTTCGAGAAACATGATGGACTTCATATTATTTTCCGGTCACAAATTACCCCTTTCATATCAAAATTTGGCCTAGTTTGAAAAGCTATAATTAAACTGAGCTTTGATTTACAAAGGTATCTGTTGACAATTTACGAGTTTACAAATTACACTCAGTAAACCAATACGTAAACACAGCATCATACATTGTATCATTCTCGTAAGCAGGTGCCCTTCAATCGCTCCATGCCACAGACAGTATCAATGAAGCACTACCGTTATTAGCCAGCCAATACAACATAGACGATAATAATTCCTATCTCTATTAGATCAGTCCCGATTACCAGAGATTTGTTTCAGGAGCGTGATCTTCTATCGTTTGTTTTTTTACGTCCAGTCATTAACTTTATAGCTTTGTTCTTGATATCATTTGATGCTCTGACATTTTCGATAGGATCTTGCGTAAGTAAAAGAAAACGCCAACTCACTACCAACATAGGTCTTGTATATATTTTCTATACTACAGGTATGTTTTTATCTGAGACATGTTTTCAAAATTTTATTAAAATTTCAGGGCGGGAAGCGAGTATTAAATTCCTCACTTCAGAGATGTGTTCGATTTTTTGTTCTCGAGCATGCATTTGCATTCTATTTTAAGGAGTTTCTGGGTAATAATTGTCACATCTATTCATTATAATTTAGGAAATCTATTTTAAATAATAAATACCTTTAAGTTGATGAATTTGATTACTCGGAAATAACAAATGTCAAGAAAAAGGAATGCATACAGAGCACTCCACGTAATTTTAAACAAACTCGCGTGCTTTTAATTAGTTTGTCAGTTGCTTCGTTGCCAGGCGAATAAGCTCATCCATATTTTTCGTCTTAGTCTATTATTTTGGTGCGATATTGTTATTGCAAAAATGCTTAATACGAAGAACAATTAATCTTAGTGCAATTAACCTAATGTCATGTTCTGTTAAAATCCTAGGTAGATGGTAATTAAAATAGATCCTAACAGTTTCTTGGATAAGAAACTGCAGCGTTTATCTAAGTACAGTCTTGGAGTAATAACTACTTGTCATTTCCGAAGGTAATGGGTCTAGACACGTTTTTGTCATTGTCTGCAAGTACTAAAAAGACTTAGAAGTAAACATGGGAGCGTTAATTAAGGATGAAGATTTCACCAAAACAATATCATACTTACTAGCCATTACCAATGCAACGATTCCCGTAAGAGGGTTAAAGAATATGGTCGTAAAAAGTGCCAACCAAAGATAGTTTGGAGGTTTGCTCTCCAGAACAGGTGTATCAAAAGTGTCCCGATTCTGGTTTTCAACAGTTTTCCTGGCCTCATCGTAGTAGTCCTTTCCATTTCTTGTCGTCTGCCCAGCTTCAAGTCCAGATCTAATACTAGCTGTAGACTGGAATCCTTTTTTAATTGAACTTTTTGCACTAGTGTCTGAATTTTTACGAATCGAATCAGACGACTCCTTTCGTTGAGATTTGGGAGCATTTCTGAGAGATGATTGTTTACTCGACGAACTTTGTCGTAATTCAAGATTTGTGGAAGAATTGTCCTCCATCACACTGAATTGAATAGCGCAAATACTCCTAAGATTTCCTCATAGTGTGACAATAACCAATATCTAAAAGTTTTACAGGGCTAGCTTTAACCTTACGTAAGTTTCCGCTTATCGTAGAAAACAAAAAACTAGCCGTATATCATAAACCATAGCATCACCCTCGAATTACATGTTAGTCTGATATCAACACAAGAGAGGCGCGCTACAGTCTGCCTGTTGTCCCGTGAGGTGCTTCAGAAACAACAGAAACTTATAATAATGTCCATCATTTCGTCTCAAGTAGCACACACTGAGAAAGTTAATACACGGTCGTGGAGAGATGTCCAGATGCCTATGTGGTGCCTGATTTTTTGGCGATCTCTTCTCCGTCCGATTATATCTACGTGTTATCATGGTGATAAACTGTGGAGTAATGAAGTGAATTCAATTAAAGTTTTTCTGTGTAAAATATGCTGAGTCAAAATTTTCGTATTCATAGGCGTTGAAAACTTCGTGCACGAATCTCTGAAAGCAAAGCGATGTTTCAATAACCAATCTTTTAGAAAATTAACTTTAAAAAAATGCTTGTTGTGAAATCAGAACAGTATTTTGCATTACTGGTATTTAACATTCATTTTTAATGGACGAGTTAATTTCTAATCACAGAATAGAGGAAAAAAAAACTTCACTGTGTGATTTAGTTTTTCCTATGTCGCTTTTATTATAGCCTTGCAGCCAATTTTCACATTGAATTTTATCAAACTCTCGGGACATCAAATGGCGCAACAGTCCTTTTATTAATTCAATATTCCAACAAATCTACGCGCGTCAGTGGTAATTCCGTCTGACATTTACCGCGTGATATACACGTTACATATGACGTAATGAGGTACTGGTCAACAGAAAGCAGAATTCTTTATGCCATTAGGAACTAATTAACAAACCCTCATGGTCTTCATTAACACCCAAACATTCCAAACCCGGTGCATATGGTGTTGTACTTTACGTAATTTACACAGGAATACATGTAATCCAATACATTTTGATATTGTTAATAAATCATGTGTTTCGTCAATGAACGTTAAATTTTATTGTTTTAGTTTTCTTTCATATGAGATTTATTTCAGTATATGCTTTGATCCTTTCTTGTTCTTTTGAACATTCTATCCACTAAAATATTAATTTCCATTTGTAGAATCTTTTAAATGAATCATACATTTGTACTATGGTTTATTTATTTAGTCAATACAACCTTAGGCAAAATAGCCCATCAGTATAGAATATTATATTACAATAATTAACACCCTAAAGAAGTCTAAAATCGGGTGTTTGACACTTTCAGGATGGCCGATAAAATGTTATCTTGAATGAAATGGGAATAGTGTAAAACAAGAGACCCATGGGCCATAACGCTCGCCTGAGTCACCTTGAACTTGCTGTTCTTCGGAAGATTTTTAAGGTTTTTCTTTTTCATTCCCAAGAAAAATTTTTATCCAAAGTTTTGGCCCCACCCTAACTCCCAGTGGTCATGAATTAACAAAACTTTAATCTGAAGAACAGCAAGTCCAAGGTGATTCAGGGGGACGTTGTGGCCCATGCGTATCTTGTTTTACACTATTCCCATAATTGCTTTTTCAAATTATGGTCTCTTGAGGTTAAAGGGTGGGGTAAAAAAATTACATATAAATAATGTATATAATATTTATCCGGGGGAAAATCTTCAATGAATAGCAAGGTCCTGTTACAAGTAGTGATATTGATTTAGAGGCATCCCCACCCTATAACCTTAAGAGACCATAATTTGAAAAAAAAAATTGAATCCACAAACCTGAAAATATTTGCATATCAATATTATATACATTGTGGTCCTATTACTCTTGAAAAGTTTTTTCTCTTTCCTAGATTTTCTCATGTAACACTCTGAATGCCTACTTCAGCCCTATCATTTCCCCAGGGATCATAATTGAGCGAGCTTAAAACTGCACTACATGAGGGTAGTTGCACATATATGACTTGTCATGCCCCTGCTGTTCTTGAGAATATTTTTGAAGACTTTCCTAAATATTCCAATGTAAGACTATATGATCTTTTGTGCCCCCCCCCCCCTTGTCCTGATGCCATGATTATAACAAATTCGAATCTATACGCTTATACGAGATTTCACATAACTTTTCGTCTTTTCTGGCCCATGCAGTGGTTCGTGACAAATTTTTAAAAAACATTTTATTAAATTTTCGCCATTTCTGAAATCTATCCCTTTGAAAGAGGGTGTGGTCCTTCGATCGTTTGAAAAAAAAATTTAATCTTCATCTAGGGATGCTTTTTAGCAAGTTTGGTTGAGAATAGCTTAGCGGTTCTGGATAAGAACTTGAAAATGTGAAAAGTTTACAAAAGACATTCCGAAGACGGACGCCAGACACAATCTTTGACCAGAAATGAGCGTTTTCCTCAAGTGAGCAAAACGGTAATATCGCTAACAAAACCGTAGAACTTAAAATGATAGAGCTACATTAATCTCCTCTTGAATTGGTACATTTGTAACTTTACTTTTTGGTTTTAAAAGGAAAATCTTAATCCTAAATCAATTTGATCCTCATAAGCAATATTAGTTACGTAACCTATACATTGTATATCAATGCCTCGACCTCCATCCCTTATCTTAGATACCAGAACTTTAAATTTTAAATCTCAAAATTATTGAGATCGACACCTTTTCGCATACTTCTAATATTCTATTCGTCTTAGATCAATTTGATACAGATAAGAAAGTCATATATATCTACCACACAAAAGATTTACAATTTAAAACATTATCATATGCGTAAATCGTTTTCGAGACTTTTCAGAAACACAATACACATAAAATCAGATATAACTACGAAAACTTGTCCGATAACAGTATGGAAAGCTTTCAAAATGGTCGTTGACCTCGAATACTTGCTGAAGATTGTAATAAAATTTCAAAATGTTGACGTCTTTGACCTTTATTATCAATTTCCTAGTGTTTCACTGGCACACTTTTTCGTTTGCATGATTTGAAAAAAAAATCGTGACAATATAATACTAATACTGTGTTTTTATTTGTTTCTCTAACAAGAAATTCCCTTTGAAATAAATACTAAAGGTTTTTAGTAATTCATGCTATAAACTTTCACCGCCTCTTTCAATGTATCATCTTTCTCGATGAGGAACATTTTTGAGCACGTACTGTCAAAACCAACTGTAATAGGTTTCGTCAGTCCCTTTTCCTTGGAGAGTATAATCCGCACCAAGCGTCCATCTGGACCTATCTGATGAACATTGTTGGATTTAGAACCACATGCGTATGCTAGGGATCTATTGTCCGCAGACACACCCCCTATTTCCTGTAAGTCGTCGTGTTTGTACTTATATTCCCGGTTTCCACGCATATCTGTACAGAGTACATATTCAGACCGGATATTGAGGTACATTTTCCGATGAGATTTGGAAATATACAGTGACTGTATCATTCCAGACATGATGATTGTTTTCAATCGAGCTCCCTTAACGTTAAAGAAACTGACTAAACTTCCGTTTCCGGTAACAATTTTGTCATCAATAGAGGAGACATGAAAGCATTCCGTATCTAGTTCGATCTTTCCTTTTGGCTGCAAAGTTTCCTCATTTACATCGATTAATTCCACCCTCTTAGCCGCACCTATTGTTACTGCAAGCATATGATCGGATAATGCAGTCACGTCAAACGCCTTGTCTTCCAGTTTCAGTTCATGAAGGAGAGCATAACTCTCGTCATACAGGAGAAGTGTTGAATTAAGATCTAACAGCACAATATATCCTGATGACAGGAACGTTGCAGCATGAACAGCTGGACTTGGAGACAACTCCTTCTCCAGTATTAGATTTGTGTGAAATGAAAGCTTCTGCAAATGAAGGGAACAAGTAAAAACGTTAACCTATGCCATTTCAATTATATTTAAAGTGTAATATGCTTCAAATAAATAAGATCGTTAATGGAACGAAGCAGAGAATTAATGTAACAATACACTTAAAATGAAGTGTGTAAATTTGGCTGTGGTTTCATGAGCCGCCTACCGCAGAGTGCTTGCCATTCTCTACGTGTTGAGTGGCGAGTCTGTAGGACAGTTCTTCACTCCCCTCGCTGGACTTCCGGGTGCGCAGGCGTGGGTCTGGCGCTGCTGGAATCATATATACAAGACAGGGTTTAAGACACAAATCAAAAAATCTAACGCCAAAGTATAATCAGATGATTAAGACCAAAGCCTAAAAACTGCGCATAATCAGGGAGGGATTTTCAACACAGTTTGAAACTTGACGAATGAAAAAATAATGTAATGGTGTGTTTTGATGGAACTGACAATTCACCCTTTTCCTCTTTTAAGATCGTGAAAAGACATGTGTGCTCTAATTGAAATTTTCCCTGGTACTAATGGAAGAATTTGGAAGGTTTATATCATGCAGGTAGACAAAAAATATATAAGGCACGTGAAATCTTGCTACCTGTCTATCAATATTGTTGTTTGATTGCTTCTTCTTTTAGATAGTTTGTTAAAAATAAGCATATTGTTTCAATGAAGACTAAAAAAATTGAAAATCCGAATAGTTAATTGAAATGTTCCACATGCATTTATTCTATTTACACTTCTTGACATTCATTACACAGTGTTTGACGCTATGAATTACTTATCGTTCACGCCAAATGAGTCTTTACTATCCGTCGTGGGAAACAGCTGTCACTGAATGATGGGAGTACGAAATACTTTAAATTTATACATGTATTTTTATTGTTTCTCAGAGTTAAGCAGAACAGTGGTTGATACTTACGAGCCAGTCTGAAGGACATGAGGAACAATTCGGTGTCGCCATGTTTGAGAGTTGGCAAGGACACTCGTGTGTCATGGTAGTCCGAGTCTAAAGATGTTACCAACTTCTTCTCAATGCGAACTCTGTATTAGTATTTATTGATTTGGAAGATACATGTATAAACAAATAGTGAAAATTGAAAAAACAAAACAAAAACAAAAACTAATTCATTTCATGAATTACAGTGAATATATTCGAACAGCAGATTTCGAGCAGTTGGTAAGATATATATTAAATTTAAAATATATGTATATTAACAGTTCAAATCTGACCCAAAAACACTTAAAAATTGAAAATGTAAAGTATCCAATATCACAAACTTTCCATGCATACATGAGGGGATAAAGTAACGGAGTTACCTCTCTTTGAGTTCTGCCACGTTCTGCAAAGCAAAAAAATGTAAATTATAAACAAGCCTATAATGTTTTGCTTCTAAGGTTTCATAATTTTCTTCCTGTTTTGCGCACATCAAATTTAAAAGAATTACAATTATCTTTCCTCTCTACAAGTCTCTTGTATCTTGGCATAAATAACATTTCACATCTTGAACTTCTTTTACATTATGGCATCACAATTCACTGATTTAATCTATTGTCCTTAAGGAGTACTCTGACTTTTTTGTGACCACTGCAATTGAAACTTGATCAAAAAGGCTTTAATTTTGTCTAGACGAAATTGACTACCACTCGAGAACAGTTACAGATAAATTCAACAGTCTATTCTACATGTATATCATATATTTGCCGCAAAGATGTTTCTTTAGTGGTTTGTGTGATCTTTACATTTTTTTTTGGATTTCATATTGACCGAAATTGTCTCGCATTATAATTTGCAGAGACAGAACGTATTTTCTTCAAAGACATTCTTTATACTGGGCATAGATTTCAGAATAAATACGAGCTTTCCCGACTGGACCCTAAGGATTTTCAAAAATGAAATATCCATTTTGTCTTGTCTTGCAAAATAGTGAATTATCGGTCACCAAATGTATAAGGAAGTATCCTATTACAATAGTGATCGTGCAGATTTTTTGCTGATCCAGACTGTTGAAGTTTTGTTATGACTAATTGGGAGTATAACCCCATGTTCTACATCTAAGTTTATTTCTAAAAATGTAGTACAATCTGTCAGAAAGTTTTTTTTCAGTTGAATCACAAATATCATTTATTGAAAAATAATAATAGCAAATATGTTAAGACTCTCAAAATTTTCTTCTCTGTTCTTTTATTTATAGGAAATATTGCAGGAATTCTGGCTACCAGCCCAACTAATGTTAAATAGAAAACTTATGACAGAAAAACCTGTAAAAAGGACACTCCGTCGTCCGTTATAGAGTCCTCGAGAGCGTTTATTTTTAACTTCAGTTCCTGAGCTTTGGCTATTTTATCGTTGCCATGACAGGCTTTTTCGGCGAGTTTAATGGCCTCCAGCTGTAACCCGTCTTCTTTTTGTCGTAAAAGTTCCCGTATTTGTTCAAATTCTGATGTTATTTGTTCTTGAAGGGCACATAATTGACTCTAAAAATATCAAAAAGGGAATGTACTTTCTTGAAATCAAACGATGAAAATCGGATGTTGAGTGAAGTAAAACGTTATCTCTCACCTGAACTGTGACGTCACTGTCGCTCAAAATAGAGTTGACCTTTCCTTTAACAAATGCCAGATCTGACGAAATTTCATCCTATACAAGAGAAATTAAACTTGAAATACCCTAATTGTAATACGTTATTTGAACATAATGAATTATGTTTGAAGATTTTTAACTTGACTATTAAAAGTTTAATGTTAAAGGTACTTTTCAACATACTGTGGTTTCGTTTATTTTCGTGGGGATGAGAATTTTGTGATCTTGACAAGAAATACAATTAGCTTAATATGTAAATTTGTGGACAGTTACCTCAACTTATTCTATCATTAGTAAATTTGTAGTTCGATGATCGCCTAATTTCATAGTCATATTCAACCTCGAAACCAACGATTTTAGTTTTCAAAGAAAATTGAGAAAAACCACAGCATGCTCAAGCGTTTATCGGTAAAATTGTGAAATTTTCATTAAATCACTTTTTCTATTAAATCAAAATGAATAAATAAATGTTATAAAAATAATTATGTTTGTCTGATTTGCATGTTAACCTTGTTAATGATGTAAAATAATATTATGGAACGTGATTTGACATTATAATCCATATTCCTTGCGCTTGGGGTCGATCTCTAAGAGGAGTTCTTCATGAACGTTTTTATATTAAGTAGCAACTCTACTTGCTATAGTCCCGCCAGCCAGGAGCAGGTCGAAATCTTATCATAATGCTTGCTCATTAAAAATTGTAAATGATATAACTTGTACAAATTTAATAGCCATGAATACAAAGTATATCCACTATTCAAATGGAAAGAATGGCTGTTTGGTGGTAAAACAATATTTGAACGTTTGTTTAACGAAACTATCTTTTTTACCATGATACTCTTACAAGAAACGATTACATCTCGAAACCAAAGGAAACGTAGGCGTATGTAATTATAATGACATAAAATCTATAAATTTTCTCTTTAGTCTTTTATAATTAAATCCTATTACTGGATATATTCAGTCACTGATATATGTTTGGTATTTAATAATTTCATATGAAAAGAGCTCTTGGCAGAGAATCTAAAGTTCTGCACTTATAACTGGAAAATCTTTATCAGGGACACACGAACAAAAAAGAAATATTTTGAAACAATTAAAGATGACCTCATTCTTTTGCCAAAAGTTTGACTGTTAATTGGTATTTAAATCTCGTCATTCTGTTTCTTTAACGTGTCCCTGATATGGGACCTTTGTCAGACTCACTGGATTAATGTAATTTGAAATGGTTAGATCAGCAAAAATTGATTGTCTAGATATATTGAGATTATTGTCCCCTTCTTATTTACACAATGCTTAGATACACAAGATCCGTGCTTTCATTGGGAAAAATTCAAAGGAGAAACTGTTTTACAAATGAAAGAAAAATATCTCGATATGTTTACATTTCTCGACTTGAATTCTTTTTTTTTTAAATAAATGTCTATGAAATGTTATCTTAGGTTGATTTCATCTGATTTATTTTTAGTAAGATGCATTATATTTCAAACATGCTTGTGTAATGTACACGTAAGATGAAAACCATATTCAATGCATTGTGGTACCCTTTTCCTTTTAGCCACGACGTCAACATCTCCCATGTTATGACCCGAATGTTGATCACTGAAAAAGCATCTTCCACACATCAGCACTGCGCATGTTTCACAGTATCCTTCCACGGTTCGCTTGTGTTCTTTGCAGACACGTGACTGTTGTTGCTGATGAGCAAACTCATCAACCATGGCGGCAAGCCTCCTGTCCTTTTCTAGACCGTCCACTCCTCTATAGTCCAGCATGACCAGCTGACGACACTCGGGGCAGTTGAAGGAGAGGCAGTGCTGGCGGACCCCCTCCAAACATCGCTTACAGAAACAGTGACTACACGGAAGTCTGTGGGGATCAGCGAAGAAGTCCATACACACTGGACATCTTAGATACTGGTCTAAAACCAGAGACGCCATTTTGTGGCAATCTACAAAGAATTTACCACGTGGAAATGAAGATATGAAGTAGACAAGAAAAATTGTTTTAAATATCGAAACGCCATAAACATTGGGGAAAAAAATCAATGTTACCTCAGCCTACTTTTCCGGGAGACTCATTTGTTCATCCATAATTAAAGCATAAGTATAGATTCCGGTAGAATATCCCACAATTATGGTCGGTGTATTCATACTGTCAACATTGATCGAGGAAAGGCCTACCTCCAAAATTGCCTAGAGTTAAAGGTACAATATTTTAGTTACACCGAATACACAAAAGGAATAAAAACATACACCACTTACTTAGCAGGTGACAAGTTAAATACAAAATCAAAATATCGAACTGAGTCAATGCAGGTTTAATCGTTGCCAGTAATATCATTAACATGCAAAGTCATGATGTAATATCTTAGCGATCTAGGTGTTTCGGGGTCGCCAATGTGAGAATACTAGTACCTTATAAGATTAATCAATCAACGTCGGAATAGCGCGGATCCACAAAATGTTTTCCGGTAAACTCCGAAATTTATCATAAAATTAATTTCCAGTGCCATATACGGAATAGATGGTTCTGATTTTCATATAAAATTATTCCCTCTTAACGTATCCTTTTACAAGCAATTGTAATCAAAACGGAACCGAATACTTATTATCAGATTATTTGCAAAAGTCCACCTCCCCCCGAGATTAAGATCACGACAGGTTAAACGCATTGTGGAGGTAGATAACAACGGGTATTCTCTTGCAGGTTATTTCGAGTAATAGCATAAGTTAACAGCTCTGTATTTTATATCGTAATGTGTTATGTCTTTTTAGGATTGTAGAGGAATATTGCTTTGATAAATTTTTCTTTGTGAAATTATAAAATATTTTGATTTCCTTTAGGTTGCAATTTCAAATATTTTGAATTTAACTTGGTAGATAATCTGATTTTAATTCACAATAGTGTTTTATCAAGGATATATCCATAATCAATAAGCATCTCATGTTGTTTCCTTTCTGTCTGTATGATACTGTAGTGCATCGGAGATCCCTCTCAATTAATTCTATATATATAATGACCATTTTCTCCTTCATTATAGTTCTAGTTTTCCCCACTTTTAATCTTTGCAGGAAAATCAGGGATTAAAAGGCAATCGATCAGAAGAAAACTCTTGTACGGTTTCCGAGACTTTTGCTATTATTTCTTTTTCCTTGTAACATTGACTTCTATGACGCAGAATTTCAATGCTTCTTTATGTGACAGTGTATACGTAATTATTCTGAATTCAAGACTCTTATGGCGAATTATATTTTTAAAAAGTTTAGAATCACTTGAAAAGAATGACCTTGACCATTGAAATTAAACCAATGGAAGTAATGGAACACCACCAGCACGTGAGAAACATATCAAAATCAACAATTAATACTTGATTGCTTAAGAGTTTCTATGACTTTTTCTTAACAAAATTTAGCACACAAGCAATTTCCAACGAATACCAGTTATCTGTTGTACAATGCCGGACTATTTGATAAATTCTCCAAGATTGGACTCCACCAAATTGTTATTTAGGAAATGTCTAATAATCATTGTGTAGTTGGACTATTGTGTCTTATCAGGGCTAATACTGTGTTTGATCTGTCAAAGCTGACATAGGGCCCATTTGCACTAACGAGAAATAGACGAGTATATGTGATACAGTGTACAAATTAAGGAACCTGTATGCTTGTCTATACACTTGACAACTATTTATCCTCTATAAACAAATATTATCGAAAAAAAATTCACTTCCGTTCACGAGATTTCAATTCCTAAACAATATGTATGAATACATTATACATAATACATTGTTATGTTTCAGACACAGATTTTGGCACTAAGAGTTACGTCATCGTCTCATACTTGTGTCAGAGAAATCTCACTGATTTTATAGTCAACAAAGAGGATGTCATGGTCAAAGAGTAATAGATTTCTGCACTTTCTAGAGGCAGTTTGGACATACTGTTGTTATCCCGGTCCGTCCGTCCGTCTGTTACACTATCTTCTTTTTCAAACTCCTCTTGCATTTTAAGCAGAACATGTAGCAAATTCATCTTATGTATTTACAGTTGGTGGTATCCTGTAGATGTGCAATAAGGTTTCGGAGTTTTCATTTTCATCCTTGGAGCCAATTGAGAAGTCGAAAAGGACCTTTTCCAACAAAATCTGGTTCCCAGAACTCCCATTACATTTTGAGCAGTAGCCATATCATCTTTTGAAATATGATTGTGGTATGCTGCAATAAGGTTTTGGATTTTTCATTTTTATCCTGGGGTCCAATTGAGCCGAAATACGACGTTTTTCTACAAACAACCATGTTCCCGGAATTCCTCTCACAATGTTCCCGGAATTCCTCTCACATTGTAAGCTGTTGGAGTATGATTGGTGATGTCTTGCGCATTTGCAATAAGATTTCGGAATTTCTGTTTTCATCCTGGGCTCCAACTGAGGCAAAAAACGAAGTTTTTTATACAAAAAATCACTAATCATGTTTCCAGAACTCCCAACAAATTTTAAGCAGTAGCTAAATCTTATTTTGGAATATGATTGGTGGTGTCTTTTACGTGTTGCATAACGTTTTGAAGTTTTTCATTTTCATCTTGGGGACCAGTTAGGGGCTGAAAAACGCCGTTTTTCTACAATATTTATGTAAATTTTGCCTTGCTCATTTGTTATCCAAGTTAGAAGGAGAGAACTTTTAGAGTCCGTGTGGGTATTGCTGTCTAGTACAATTTGTGAATAGCGAGTTAAAACAGCAGATCAAACACACAAACAAAACAAAAGACAAGAAAAAAGCAGAAATATTAAATACTTGATGTCACTAGTATTTGTAAGGTTTCTGCCCAATTACTCACGTAAAAACCTTGATATTTTGCATACTTGAAATACCAATTATTGTACGAATTACAATTACTGTAATAGTTGTTTTTCGTTGCATAGTGATAAAAATCTGTACAGATATATTGAAAGAAGATACCTTTGTTTGAGATGTCTAGTTGAAGACAAAAGGGTTAGCAAGCGATTGTTTGCTCTTTTTTTCAATTGCTTCACTTTAAATTTTAAAAAAAATCATCAAAACGTAAGGGTCTCAAGTTATTATTATTTTTAATCTCAGCTGTAAGCTGTTCAATGTTACATGTTGAATTTAGTTCACAAAAACTTGGTTTTGTGTTGATTGCAAAAGAAAGGAGACTCCGCCGTCAAATCTTGTTTGACCATCAGAAAGTGACATTTGCATTATATTTGGGACTCTGCTGTCAATAACGGTATAAATTAATAGTGAACAATAAGTTTTTGTGTACTAGATTCTAACTCATTTGTATAATTTCGTAGGGAAATTGACGAAATAATATTTCTGAAAAATGAGTGAAGCACTTGACATTGACAACTGAGTCTTAATTGATAAGATACATGTACTAGAAAGCATTCGTTTATTGGGGGAATATAACTCGTGTGTCTGTTTGTATTACAGACATTTCTGTAAAAATGCTGGTCTCTGAGCCTTTTTATCCAATAGAATTTATCGATTAAGTATTAGCATATGGAAGAACATACTTGATGAGAGTTACTCGAGTTACCATAATCAAGAAGAGTTTACTCGATTCGTACCCAGGATGTTGGGGTTAAAATGGCGTTAAGTAAATACTGTAGTAATATTTATACACAGATAATGGTTGCATAATTCAGCCATTCATTGGCCTTTCACCTTTTAGAGACGCGTCCTGTACATGCTGTAATAACAGTACCATGACTGTGATTGTGGAAACGAAGATGTTCCGAAGGACATGAAAGTTAACTATGCGCAAGAAATTTTCTCATATGTCGGTAGCTAGCTCTATCATCTTTTTGTTGAAATAAACCCATATGTACGTTTTACCAAGTCATCAAGAAAGCTTACATCAGAAGGCTGCGATATGTATCCACAGAACACATATGATCAGGACAAACGCAAAGAAAAAACCTTGGGTATTCAGTATTTGCATACATATACTATATTTCGTGCATAAATTAATCAAACGCAGCATAAAAGCCTCGTATAACGTGCTGTGACCGGTTTCTGACCATATCATTATTAGTCTTTCCGATGTTTCCTCTTGCAGCCTTAATGTATCTTTGTACGAAAGAGAAGACGCTCATCAAATTGTATTAATTATACTACAGGTGTTGTTGTCTGATTAAGTAAGGAGGATAATTTTGTTTTCATGATATATTAATAAGCGAAAAATGACGTGTTATTTATACGGATTCAGATCTATGGATCTCTTCAATTCTACAGGATTTCAATTTTTATAAATATATATACAGTCAAACCTCGTTATCTCAAACTCGTTGGGACCACTTCGAGATATCTGAGGATTCAAGATACCAAGGGCAAAATACTTAAGGAATAAGTGTTTGGGATTTTTTAATCACTTCGACATATCCATGGTATTCGAGATATCATGCAGTGATTGATATACCGAAGTTCAACTGTATATGGCATTTGCATAATACATTTCATTTGCAGGTCTACGTGACCAACTTCATTATTTAACGAAAAGTTTATTTTATTTTATTACATTTTGTATTTCAAATAGCACAAAATAACTATGTAATAATCTCGAAATGTCCCTGTAGATATCTGACATCAAAATTAAAAGCAAGCATGCCTTATTGCTTCTCCAAATTTTTTAAGTTAATCATAGATGTATGTTATTTAATGCTTGATCAGAATAATGTTTTAATGTGTCTAACGTTTCTTGACAATTTTAAGGACTTACTATAGAAATCAGACTTTGGGTTATCTTACTTTAAGTCAATATTTTTGAAATTTTAAACTATTAGATAAATATCTATATTTATAAAAACGCATGTAGTTACTGATATAATTCATCGTTAAACGTGATGTACAAAGTAATCAATAGAATTTGACCTAGAAATCAAACAAGCAGTTTTTCCCTCTTGTGTATTGCTATCTATACGTTATAATTTACAAGGGAAACAAATTAATTCGTTCAATAAAAT